CTCTCTCTCTCTCTCTCTCTCTCTCTCTCTCTCTCTCTCTCTCTCTCTCTCTCTCTCTCTCTCTCGGCGAAGGAAGCTAATTGCGGAACGCTTCGTATCTCCTTCAAATTACCGTCGCCCGACGCCGTCGAGATATCGACCAGGGGGAGGGGTGGGATGCGACTACGCGCGAGAATCGCCTGCGATACTATCGATAAGCTTGAAAAAACGACCGTGAAGCTCCACGGCTCCAACTGCCAGATCCATTTCGCGCCAGCTCGATCTCGCTCGAAGGCAACAGTGCCGTAGAACACAGGCGCTTCGAGGGGATCTCGCCGTCCCCCTTCGAACTGGGGAGATTGACCGTGGTTTCCAGCCACGAATGGTCGTCGGTCGGAAGAATGGGTCGGTAAAGGGGAGCAGCGGAGGTACCAGGGGAGGAGAGTAACATGCCGAGGACGTCTCGACGATGACTGGTGCATCGTGCTCGAGACGTGAAGCGAGAGAGACGCGTGATTCTCAGAAAAGGGCCAGGCCAGCCGCTCCGTCCGATAGAGTCATCACGTGTCGACGCTAGGATAGTACTTTTATTGTAACATATCGAGCATGGGGCACCGGCTGGGGGCCAGTCCGATCGTAAGCAGGGAGGAAGAGAAGGAGGAGGGAGCCCGTTCTTTCGAGCAGGGGAAACCGATTGCGGAGCTGGTTGTCCCGTACACAGCGGGGGTGCTTCGTCGCGGTCGGTGTATGATTGATCTGACACGTACCGGGGCACCGAGCCCTTCGTCGCACGTACCTGGACTCCTCTTGGATGCTGGAGATCCATGTACGACCTTGTGCGTCGAGGGCCGATGAGCCTGTAGCAGAACAACACCGAGCGCGTCGTCGGGAATTTTGTCAGGGTTCAGTGTAGCGGGGTTGATTGAAGTTACAGGCGAGGAGGGTTGTGGTCGCTTTCGGGCTGTACGAGGTGGCTCTCTCTCTCTCTCTCTCTCTCTCTCTCTCTCTCTCTCTCTCTCTCTTTCTCGGTCGTGGCGATATACGAAAGCAAACAGCGCGAGGCGATCGTCGGAGCAATTTGTAGAACGACCAAGTATCTCGCGGCTCGAGGCTGCTGAGATTTATCGCGGGCGGCTCCGCTGATCAAAGCGACAGGTTCCTGGTTCCGCGGGACGGTTCTAGTAATACCACCGCTGGATTTCATTGCGCGGGGCCGAACACCCGCCCGTAAATACCGGTCGCCACGTATCGCGCCCGTCGTGTAATATCGCTTCCGACGGATTCCGTTCGCGGAAAGATCCGATCTTGTGTGCGCCCGCGATTCGCTATCTAATGACTCGCGAGCGCGCGACTTGCGCGACCGGCAACTTTCTATCGCCGGTACGTCGATTGGTATCTATCTACCGCTGTGCGTACCTGCGGAGAAGCGCGCGCACACACAAATGCGCTCGAGAGAGCGTCGCTATAGGTCACGATCGTGCGCATCGCGGTTCGTTCGGGTTGTTCGGTAGGAATTCGCACGCCAACTTGGAATACGTCTCCGTGCGAGATCTCGGGAATTAGAGGAGATTTTCCTTCTTAATAATAGAATGTCACTTCCGTCGCGCTGAAGCAAGACTCTCAAACGGTGCCAAGAAAATCTGAGCCGGCTAAGAGAGCAGCAGCGAACATCTTGAAGCTGCGCAACTGAGCGTCGCGCCATTAAATTCAATTAAGCTGTGTCATGTCAAAGAAAAGCTTTATATGCATTGCACGCTGTTATTCACCTTTACGCTCAGCAACTCTGCGTTGCAATATGGCGGAGTGTAGTATTTATTCTACACGCTGGAGGACGTGTAGGGTTCTGCACCTATGGTCTTACCAGACTAACGTAAGCTAACTAAAGTTCCTTCTGCCGAACACGCGACCAAGTTCATGCTGCTCGCGCGCAGAATGATCTTTTCTCAAACTTCAAACGTGCTGTATTGTTCCCTACTAACTAACACCTGATTTATTTTAAGTCGTTTACACACATCAAGACGTTACATTATATATATATATATATATATATATATATATATATATATATATATATATATACATACATTGAGAGAAAAATATAGTTGCTTCCGACATCAACTATACTCTTTTGTAACTTTAACTACAAAAGTAGTTAGGAAAACCGTTGTTTTAGTAAGTGTTATTAGAAAGATAGTCCTTCTAATTATTTTTTTGGTTCACGAATCACAAAAAAGTATAGTTTATGCCAAAAGTAACTATATTTTTTTCTCAGTGTATATATGTATATATATGTTTTACGCTAATATACATGCAGATTAGGTAAATTTAACCTAACCTAACCTAAGTCAATTTGCGAAGTGATTTTCATTCAGTTTGATCTAATCCATACAATTGCGTTAGTGTGACTGAATTTTCTGTCACTCGAGTGTCAGATGAAAAACTCGGTTAAACGGTGAGGTTTTTGCAAAAATCCCACTGGTTTCTACTCAGCCAATTGTCCAATTATCTTTATAATTAGTACCTAAAAATTACGGTCTTTTGCAAAATGGTAGAGGCATTTTGTGCTCAATTCGACCGAATCTACATGTACACGAGGTGTGACGTGACGCTCAGCGCAAGACGTCCTGTATAGAGAAATTAATTTCCTTTTTACATGTTTCAGACGCAGGCGAGGAACGAAGCTTGAAGTTTCCGTCAACGACGACGACGACTACGACTACGACTATGAGGACGACGACGACGGTTGTCTCTCGACGTGCGGGCAGATGCATTATCGTAAGTACGAGATTGCGTGTTTCAATTATCCGAGGTGATTCGCCCCGAGCTATATCGGGATTGTCTTCGTCCTGGTTCGCCCACTCCGCTCCTCCGCGGCGCGTCCGCGCGCGCGCGAGGAATCGCTTCATCATAATCGGTCATCCGGCGTTTTTCTACGGGCCGGACCCCCTACCGACACGACGCCCGGATATCTTAGCATCGAAATGCCGCGCTGACAGGCAAAGAATTTGATATCGTGATTAGCTCGTTACGGCATTGTGCGTTAACGCGTTGCAACGACTCCGCTCGATCTCTTTCCTCTCATTCGTTCACCTTCTCTCTCTGTCTCTCTTGAGAGAGAGCGAGAGGAGAACGACGAGCACGACGACGCGGTTACCTCCTCGCCTACTCTCACGGAGATCCGGCGCGATTGATTCCACGCTGGATGTGTAAATAGGTATCGTCGGTGCGCGGTTTACACGCGGTTCTAATTAGCGTATAATTCGCGCGCGGCTCTTGTGTGCCGGTTCGTTTCTATCTGGATTGAATTATCATCGTGAGATGTTGTACGAATAACTGCTGTACACTCTTGGTACGCGGATAATTAGTGTTTTACACGAACTATCGTGCGATCAGAGGAATGAATCGACGCGATTGTTTCCCCCGAGAAATATCGCGTGTGTAAGTCAATGAAACCATTTACTTCGTCTTCCAACCGTTCGGTAGCTAACCGGGCTGGGTCATTACGCGTAGCGCGAAAATCGAACGATTTTATCATCGATATATCACGATCTCTCTTCTGTTATCATCGTCCCCGAAATCGACGTTCCTCGCCTCACTTTCGTGTCGCGTTTACCGACGCGCTAACGACGCGGCGCATCTTCCGCGAGTGGAGTCGGTCCTGCTTGCATTCGGTTCACAGCGATTGCTCTCGTGCACGAGAAAGCTTCTCTCTTGGCAGGGGCTATCGGCTGGATCCGTGTGCCGGAAGAGCACGGAGGAGCACGCAAGAGCGACGCGGAGTCGCAGCGCAGCCCCGGAGGTGTCACGATAATTCAAATCCCTCCTATTCTCCTATTTGCACTTCGAATCCTACCCTTCGGCCGGGGTGCACCCATGGGCGTTGCTCAACCGTGGCCTCATTACCAAAGCAAATATTTTATAGTCGAGTCCCGGTGACGACGACGACGGCGACGAGGACGAGGATGAGGATAAGGAGGAGAAAAGAAGCTAGAGAGGAGACGAGATGCCGTCGGATAGTAGTCGAGATGTGAAAAAAAGAGCCACGGATAAAGCTGTAAGAGCTCTCTCTCTCTCTCTCACTCTTTCTCAAGCTTCTTCTCCTCCTCCTTTTTCCTGTCCTCCAATCTCTACCCCGACCACTCCAGACGACGACGATGACGACGACGGCGACGATGACGACCGTCGTCGGGGTGCGCCGGAACGCCACGGGTCGGGGGAAATAAAAGGAATCCCTTTTCACCGGCTCCCGCGATTTACCTTTCAACCTCGCTTGTTTTATATCCAGCGTCGTCCGCCCTCCTCCAGCCCCTGCCGCGACGGGGTAACGTCGTCGATATTCCGAGGTGAAGCGATCGGCGTTAAAAATTAGATAGGTAGCGCGCGGTGTTCTCTACCCCGTCGTTCTTTTCCTTCCGTTTCCCTTTCGCAGCTCGGCGCGAATCGATGCCGGCGGAGGAGTCGGGGTGGGCCTGTTCTCTCTCTCCCTCTCTCTCTCTCTCCTTTTGTAGAAACCTATACGAAACAGCCTCGTGGCTGTGTATCGTGCGACTGTAAGAATCCAATTGTCACCTCGTCTTAGGATTTATGAGCACATTGTTACCGCGCGAGCTTCACGCTTCTGCCAATCGCGATATTGGTCTTGGAGTGTTGTAGCAAGCCGCGTGAAGCAATGCCTATTTGTAAGCGCGAATTGTCGACTATCCAAAAAGGACAGAATATGAAAGCAATTAAGTATATAGAAGCGAACGCTGAATATATTATGCGTTGACAAACATTATTGACAATCAGTCGCAAACGTTTAGTCATCGGTGTGACCCTTTTTAGTACTCACAATAAATAAAAATGCGTAAAAAGATTAGTCAAAGTTCATGTGTCAAAAGTTCCAAACTATCGTTAACATATCGTACAACGTAAACTCAAGTTTAATCAAACGTTAGAAACTTCTTTACGCGTTGCGAAGTGTCGGGTGATGTATCAGATCGAGTAAAACTCTAAAAAGCATACTCATAAGGTCGATTAAGAAAGTGCAACGTGTTAGTAATGCATGTCAGCCACGCACAAGTCGCAAATAGGATAATAGTTACAAGATATTCCCGTTTCGTCAAGAATCGTCGGAACGAAAGATTTGATTCAACTAAGGATGGGTCCACAACAAAAATCCAAAATAATTTTTTTTAACATTCCTTTACATCCCTGAGACTTATTTGGTCTCGACACTCAGAAAGCAAACCTTTTTTCTCACTTCTGTTCCTTTCAAGTGTCGTTTCAAGTGTCCTGAAGATTGTTCAGTTTGGAGACTTTTATTTTGCAATAAACGATACAGTTTATTTTTACAGTTTATCTTTGTCGCATGAATGCTAATCGGGGGCGCGGTATGCTCGACTCGCATTGTGAAGTCCGCGACGTTTGATCAATTTCCATAATACGCTTAAATTGATCCTTCGCCCAACGGTTGCAGCGACGCGCGCGGTGTATCCTTTGGTATTCGATTGAATCGTCAATTTGTCTAGCATTATATCCAGGTCGCTGTGGGGGTGAGACAGGGTCGCGACAAGGGTCGAACGGCTCGGGCCGAGGGGGTTGGCAAGAAGGGCAAGACGAAGGAAGGAGGGCGAAGGCGGACCGTGCGTCTCCAAAGGATTTCGTGTATTTAGGATAACAAGCTGCTCCGCCCCTGAATTGGTATGCAGAGATCCCGCGAGTAACTCCTTTATATTGACATATCGTCGGACGTGATCCAAATACATGCGACATTATACCGAATTGCGAACAAAGCCGCATGCCGTTACTGCCGTCGCCGTCGCCGCGGCGACCTCGTCAAATCGTCCGTGAATAGAAAACAAATGGTCCGTGAGGCAAATTCCGCGCATTCGGCGCGGAATCGTATGTGCGAATCGATTATGTACGAGTCGATTTCGTCTCCGTCGTTTCCGCACCAAAGAACGCCGGCCAAGCCCGAAATTCCGTCGGCGATTCATACTTCTGCGTTATCGAAATAAAGGTTATACACGGAGAGGGAATATTACTTTTTCTTTATATACATTTTTTTCAATTTCTCTTTGTTTTTAATAGTGCAGAAACATAGACTGTCAGTAAGGTTTATCTTGTTAAAAAAACGCGGCAGATTTTATAGTAATTTTTACTATAACCTCTTATTTTATTTCGTTGCAAAATGGTCTTCGTGAGAACGCTGCTCTACGGGAAGCGAGATCGGAAACCGAGTGATAACTTATTTTCTCTTCTTTTCTAATAATTTTTTAAATAGACATCGCGTATAATATTGACGTGCACTCTCTCGTTCTGGTTATCCTCTGATCGTTGGTGAGTCGAATGAATAATTACCGCGGCTTCGGTAATAATTGTTAGTGTACGCGCTCGGTGAGATGCGCGAGTATAAAAAAGAACGACGAGAGGAGAACGTGAGTCCTTTACGCGATCGCAACGGTCAAATAACAAAGTAACCGAAGATGGATATCCGTTTCAAATATTCACGCCCTTTTCGCGCCGCCGCGTGAAATTGATGCGTTTAGAGACCCCTTTACTGGTAGGCGGACAGTTACAGCGGCATAAATATTGCCGTGAGCCCTGCTGACCACATGGCACAGATACGGCCCTGAATAATATGCGTGCCCGCGTATGTGGCCCGCGGGTACCGGAAAGGTTCGTCGGAAGAATCGTCGAAAACGCCGATTAAAAGTTTCCCTCCCGCCAAATGCACTTCTCTCGTTGCATCTCTAGGCCTGCGATTCTAGGCCTCGGTTTTTGTTTCCCAGGGCGGATTACTCGCGAGAGGCCTGCTTAGCATAATTACGCAGGGCAGATAAGAAAACTATTAATTTAATATATTTAATATAATTTTTAAAGACTATAAGAAGTCGCGCATGTCATTATGGCTTGCATTAATAGTTATTTCTTGAACAGGTAAACAGGTGAAACTTGCTTAAGATACACAGATTTGAATATAGAATTAGGTGTGAATTTTTCGCATATATTATGGTATTTAAGTAAAAAATTCGAAACTATCTCTTTAAATTTAAACCTGAATAAAGTGATAATCCAAATTATTGGGTCATGTTCCAATTTCGGGTAAAACTTGGTTTATTAATATATTAAAAAAGTAAACACATTGGAATGGAAATATGACTCTTTAGATTTATGAATCTGCCAGTAGGTGTTTATACATTATTTTATATAGACCAAAACAATGTGAATTATGAACATTATTAATATAAAATTGGATACCGTATAACGTTATATGGATGCGTAATATTTGCTTACCCATAATTGGACTTACACGGAGAAAAATAATTTGCTGACAAATTTTCTGCTAGTCTAGCAAAATCTTTTCCTTATTATATGAACAGCAAAAAGATTTGTTAAGAGTACTAATCACTATTTGCTGGATATAATTTGCTGAATCTACAAATTATTTTGTTGTGAGAACCATGGTGGATTTATATAAGCAGTTGCAGTTCTGCTCCGATAGCAAATAAATTTGCTAAGGATATATTATTTTACATCGATAGCAAATTAACGTGATTTTTAGGACAAATATACTCAATAAATTTTTTGTTTCCTGGCAACGAAACTACTTCTGCTCTGATAACGAGTAATTTGTAAAATTAGTTATGTCAACTAAATTTTGTTGTTGTCACTACGAATATGCAGTACGTATATAGAATATACGAATATGCAACGACGATTTTGCTAAAAAAGCAAAATTATTTTTCTCCGTGTACGCATAATTGTTTCCAATTATTTTTTTTAAATTTAGA